CAAGAATATCAATAAAATTGTTTCTATACTATTGAAATATTTTCGAATGATGTCGATTTAAAAAGAATTTCAAGATGGAATGAACTTTTGAAAGAATTGATTTCTCTCTCTCTCTCTCTCTTAAAAAAAAAAAAAATACAAAAAAGGAATTAACATAAATGTAAATAAAAAATTATTAATAAATCGACATTCATACACTTTCAAGATTAATTACTAAACATATTTCTAAAAAGGAAAAAAAAAAAAAAAAAAAAAAAAAAGAAAAAGGAAAAAAGGAAAAGAAAAAAATCGTTCCATCGATCCTAATGTCAAGATAACAATTGAGAAAATATTCGATATGTAGGGAAAATAAGAATAAAAAATAAATGTTATAATATCGTGAAACGTACGGAGACATATCAATATCGATATTCTACATCTATAGTGACACTGAACAGTGTTCTCGGATTGTTCGAAATAGGAAGGGACATTCATCCCTTTTGCAGTTCATGTCAGCCTATCAGGGGAACGAAAGGGTTAGTATTTGAGAGGTGTCGTTGATACACGTCACTACATTTTGGACTAGGAGGAAGGTCGATGCAAAGAGCGCCGATGCATTATTCAAGCGGAACACGAGCAATACCACGTGTGTTGCTTCCCCGTGTGTTGTCTGTCGACTTGTCCCAAAATTCGGAGAAACAGTCAAACAGAGAAGAGATGAGAAGAGACAGAGACAGAGACAGAGACAGAGAGAGTGAGAGAGAGAGAGAGAGAGAGAGAGAGAGAGAGAGAGAGAGAGAGAGATAGTATGAGTCTTGCTTTTTGATGTTGTAGAATCCTATAGTAAATGTTACTTCTACAAGAAACGAAGTCTCAGCCTCTTTCAACGATATTCACGAGTGGAGTGAGAAAAAAGAACACAAAAATCCTACTTTTCTCAAGGATACCCAGCCAACTTATTACGCTTCGAACGAGATCCCTTTTTTATTTCTCGATCGATATCCACTTCGTCTATAGAACCAGTTACTATGCCTTTCTAGTGATAGCTATGGAGAATCTTTTCGACTCTCTCTCTCTCTCTCTCTCTCGGAAAAAAAATATATATATATATATATATATATATATAAAATCTGTCTCTCTTTCTCTTTCTCTCTCTCTCGTAATTGGCTACTTGAGGAAAAAGTAGAATGGGCAAGTGAATCGAATTCGGACTCGCAGATGGTCGTCAGTGGTTGGTTACACGAGAAGCTTCGAGTAAGTATGTATTGGTTAAGTAACTATCGAAGTGCCTCCTTGGATTCCTTCTTCGTTTCCGTCTCTTTCTATTCCATTCGTTTGACGTATCCCTTCCCTTACACCCACCCATTGTTTTCTCTCTCTCTCTCTCTCTCTCTCTCTCTCTCTCTCTCTTTCTCTGTTATACGATATATATCTTTTGGGTTAAAAAAAAGAAAGACGAATTGTGTCTGTGAAACGAAATCGTAACGTACAGTCTAATTTTGTAAATAAGAAATAAAAATTATATATATATATATATATATATATATATATATATATATATATATTCTGACTCATTACGTTTTTTTTTCTTTTCTCTTTTTTTTCTTTCTTTTTTTTTTTAAATGTGGAGTTTTCTCTACTAATTGATAGGCGTGTATCTCTCTTTCTCTCTCTCTCTCTCTCTCTCTCTATATATATATATATATATATATATATATATATATATATATATATATATATATATATATTGTCGACGTTAATCCGATCCGATGTTATGTTCTAACGAAAAGTTAATGGATAAATGAATACACGTCGAATAATAATCTGCTAATTATCAAATATTATTTTCCCCTTTTTCGTTAGCTAAATGTAAGTAAGAAAGAAAAAGAACGAAAAAAAAAAATTATAAATAAATTAAAACAAAAAGATAAAAGAATAAAAAAGAAATATTACGCACTGTCGATATTGATGATGTTCCATCGTGAAAAAATGAAGAAACAATAACAGGAATATAATTGGGATTTGAGAAGGAATGAATTGAATAAAATATTAAATGAGCATAAAATATATTATCGATTGAAAAATTTGGTATTATAATACAATAGACGTACTAACATGTATATATATATATATATATATATCCTCGATTACTCGTGTTAATTTCTATTATTATTTATCACGAGAATAAATTATTTGTAATAATATTAAAGTAGATACCATTTGATAGAAAATGAAAAAGTGTCTTTTATATTTTATATTAAGAACAAAAAAAAAAAATATATATATATATATATATATATATATATTATTACCGTATTACAGTAAATTCAGATGGTGGTATAGAATTTCCGAGAAGAACTTCAACTCGACATTGCTAACAAGAAGAAGAATGAAGCTGCTTGCGCTCGTTAAGGCCTTCACCGTCGTGACAAAAGGAACAGTATTGCGTTACTTAATTCATATTAAAAGTACATTTTCCTACTGTTATAACACATTAAGAAATACGTGAAATAAAATATATATATATTTTTTTTTCTTTTTTTTTTTATAAAATTTTAGCCTCAGCATAGAGAGAAAAAGAGATCAAATGTTACTTTTTCTTTTATATCCTTAAGCATTAAGAAAATGAATTGTTTGCTTTCTACACTGAAGATTGTTTATAAAAAAAAAAAAAAAAAAGAAAAAAAAAATTAGAAAGAAAGAAAGAAAGAAAAAAGGAAAATAAATGTGAGAGACAATTAAATCGAAAGGAAAATAATGTAATGCTGATTTAACGGTAGCATTCCAAAATGTAGAAAAATATATGGTCAATAAAATAGAACGTTTTGTTTGTGCGTGTGGTTCTTGTAGTTTTACACGCTTCGAAAAATCTCAAAAGGGAGAACCTACGAGAAAAGTTTCGTAAAAGAAATCGCAATGATAAGAGAGAGACAGGAAGAAAAGCACAACGGTAGATGCGTTACGGAAAGCAGAACGCGTTTCGTCGGCTACGGAAATACGAATAAATCGTTCGACCGTATCACAGGAGCCTGATGTTTACGAGCGACTCTGTTAGATGATTCGCATCGATGATTCGATGATAAGTTGCCTCTTCCGAGCTCATTTGTCATCATACATACACACACATATATATATATATATATATGCATATATATATAAACCTATATATCAAAAGATCTGTCAAAATTACTGTTCTATTAAGATGATGCATGTATTTCAAAAAAGAAAAAAAAAATATGTGTATATATATATATATATACATATTTAATTATGTTACAAATAAAGATATATAAATATTTGATTAAATGTCACAAATATATAACTTGATTTAATTAATTAAAACTTAATTAATGTTAAAATATATGAGAACTCTGATGAATGGATGGCAATTTTCTTTTTTTTTTCTTTTTTTTTTCTTTTCTTTAAATTATAGAATATATACATATATGTATATAAATATTTCTTGTTATATTCGAATGATTGTATACTGTATTAAAAAAAAAGAAAAAAAAAAAAAAAAGAAAAAAAAAAGAAACAGAGAAAAAAAACAAATCTTTTTTTACGAATCAAAATTAAAAATCGTACGTGCGTAAGAATGAACATTTTTTTCTTTTCTCTTTCCTTTCTTTTCTCTATTTTATAATAAATTTAATTGAAACCAATTAACATCGATAATTCAATCAATACTTTTAATAAAAATGTTATTTATATGAAGACGACCAGTTTGAATTATAGTAACATGTCATGTCTGCGTTATCATTGATAATTCAAAAAACCAAGAGAGACAAACATATATATATATATTGGTGAGTGTGTGTGTATATATATATATATATATATAAAAAGAGAAAGAGAGAGAAAAAGAGAGAGAGAGAGAGAGAAAGAGAGATGAAGGTCGAAAATCTTGACTGTATTCGTGCAACGAGAGGGCACGAAAATCCCGTGGAAACAATTAATCTAGCCCACTGATTACTCTACCGACTTCGTCGGCATACGCCCCCCCTCCCCCCACCATTCATGCCTGGCTCGTCGGGCTGCTGCTCCCTCCGTCGAGACGTCAAAACTCGAGATATTAATATGTTCTCTCGAATGGCAGAGAACGGAAGTCACCTTTCTCTATCTCTCTCTATCTCTCTTTCTAAACCCCTTCCCCTTCTCCACTTCACTCACTCCTCTTACATCAACACCTGCCCACTAAAGTCCACGAATATCCACTTCTGATTAAATTATTATTGTCTTTGTCCTTTATACAGTCCATCCTTTTGTCCTTTCGTCTCTCAACAAACTGACGTCTCGAATTTCAAATGATTCTCGTCCATTCCTTCATACATCGATATTATAACTCCCATATATATATATATATATATATATATATATATATATATATATATTTTTCTCGTTTATCATAGATAAAATATTAAATAGAAATGATAATCGATAAATCCTATGATATACTGATGATAAATAAATGTATATTTAATGTATAAATTTTCAAGAGGAAAAAAAGTTTCTTTCGTCTCTTTTCAATAATCATCTGAATATAGTTTTAATCCAAGAAGAAGTCACGTTTCGTCGAATGACATTTTCTTCTTCTTCTTCTTCTTCTTCTTCTTCTTTTATTTTTTTTTTCCTTCGATTATTTACGACAAAAATTATTTCAATCAAAACAACTTCAATTTCAATGGAAATTGTTTCAATGAATTATTGATTTTAAAAGGGAAAATGAGGATTTTAGAACATTCCGTGTTTATTTAACACATTCCGTGCCAAGCCATTTTTGCTTGACCTGCAGTACAGGCCATTTGATATTTTGACTAAAGAAAAAAACGATTGCGTGATTTGAAGATCAAGTTTAACGTGTACCACCACGGTGGTACACATGGCAAGAAACGTGTTAATATCTATACGTATATAATCAAATATATATATATATATGATTATTTCGAAATGTCAATTAAATGATCGATATTAAGGATAATTAATAAATAATAATTTTAATAAAAATCTTTTGATAAACTTACCAACGACATGCAAATATCCATATTGTGTTTTGGCCGCAGCCGTATTAATCTGGCACATGTATTTTCCCTTGTCATCCTCGTGCACGTTATTGATATGTAGGTACCAGGTTGTATGTTCGTCGTGCGACACAGATATTCTCGGGTTCCTGGTAATAACGTGATTCTGTACCGTCAGAATGGCGCTCTTGTCGAAGAGCATCCAGGCCACCTAAAACGATAGAGAGAGAGAGAAGAGATGGGAGAGAGTTCTCGATTAAACTACTTTTCCTTTTCTCCCCTACTATCCCCACCCATCGTTCGTTCATTCAATCCTGTATACCCTCGTCCATCCCCTCGACCATACCCCGTACACCCTTAGATCTCTCCTACTGTTTCGAACTTTCCCTATTACGAAGTTGACGTCATCGAAAGAATATTTATGCCTATTTTACAAAGAAATTTTTCCATTGTGTTTCGTTATTCCTTTTATTATTGATTTTCATATTATACTTTATCCCTCTTAACACGAACGGCATATAATTTAATTCGAAAATTACTGATAGAACAAAAAGATCGTAACAATGTTTGATTTTATTACGTAATAATCAAAGAAAAAAAGGAAAATAAATTTGATAATAAATGTACCATTGTATAATATATTATGTGATCATATTGTCAATGAAATAATTATGAATATTTACAAATAGAAAATCTTGTTCCTTTTTTAACGTTCTGCTATAAGATATAATATATATACGTATGTGATTAATATATGTGATGTTAAATGTTAGAATTAAGAATGATCGCAATGATATCTAACTATTTTAGGAGAATAAATGAGAGAAGATAAGAAAAAAGAAATATATATATATACATATATACATATACATGTATATATATATATATATATATTGTATTTTACGTGACTAACGAAAACGGATATCCACACTTTTTTTATCAGGGAATGCTGCTTCAAAGCACGGAGATCATTTAAAAGCTACGCGTTCTATTCACTCGCACCGGTGTGTTTAACAATAGCTTTCTTTGTAACAATAGATTCTGTATTTTGTAAAGCGAGTCCGTGGAATTTGTGACAAACAAAATGCAACAATGTCACGTGAGACGTACGTGAGTACAAAAAAAAAAAAAAAAAAAAAAAGAAAATATGAACTAGTTGGCGTTCAAAGTCCGTATTTTATGCTATACAAACAAACTATTTTTTAATATATATATATGTATATATATATATATATATATATATGTCATAAATAAATAATAATAAAACATAAATGTCATTTTTAAATTGGTTTATCAAATTAATCTCTAGTATTTAGTTAATAAATATTTCCTATAGAAAGACTTTTACGAAGGTAAATAAATAAAAATAAAAATTAAAATAAAAAAAAAAAGGAAAGAAAAAAAATATATATATTTCGCGTGTACGATTTTTTTATTTATTTAATATTTTTCGTTTTTAAAACGTTTGTAATCTTAACGAGAGCGACGTGATTTTTTTATATCAAATATTCGTCTCCACTATTTCGTTAATAAATATTTCCTATGGAAAGATTTTTACGGATGCAAAAAAAAAAAAAAAAAAAAAAAAAAGAAAAAATATTAAAAAAAAAAGAAGAAAAAAAAACTATTTCACGTGTACGATTTACTCATGTAATATTTGTTTATTTTTTAAAAGAGTGTGACGATTTATTTTTTTGATTTTTCTTTATTTATCGAACATCGTTCTCTACTATTTAATGAGTAAATATTTTCAAGAAGGATAAATAAAAAAGAAAAAAAAAAAAAAAGAAAAAAGAAAAAGGGAAATCAGTAATTTGATACAACCTGGCTGGTCTTGTCAAGTTTTAAATATAAAACTTGATAGATTTTGAAAGTTCGAAAATTCGATGTACTAGGTACGCATAGACGGATTTTTAGATGATCTATGAAGGCTCCAAGAGAATATGGATACATCCATTGGATCCGGATGGATTGCTTTTGGTAACGCATAGCGTTTCACGAGAATATCCGACTCGTTTTACGAGTAAAGTTTCTTATCGACGAGCAGGATGGCGACGCCCAATGGATGAACAAACACAGACTTTATACTAAAGGAATTTACTCCGAGTGTCACAAACACGGGATCGAGTGAAGAAAGTCATGAGATCGAAAAGAAAAAAAAAATCGAGTAACACCGAAATATTTCTTTTCTATTATTTCGTTTTATCGTAAGGTTACATCGAAATTACAACACAACAAATTTTTCTTGTGATCTGATTCAAAGTGATCGTGCTAAATTACAAAGCATTTAATTTGTCATCACAAGTATATAAAAAAAAAAAGTACATAAAAGAAAAAAAAGAAAAAAAAAAAAAAGAAAAAAAGAAATTACTTCAATGATATATAATCTTCCATATTGAAGATTAATACATGATATGTTACATACTTTTTTTTAAATTTACATTTCTAAATGCAAAGGAAAAAAAATTTGATAGTACCTCTTTGTAATCTCGTAAAAAAAAAAAAAAAGAAAAAAAAAGAAAGAAAAAAAGATAAAGAAAAAATAAAAGATACGAGGATGTAATTTATCATATTTATTTAATAACTCGGGTATTGATAATGTCACATTAAAAAAATACTTCGTTCTAAATATCACGTTTCTAATGGAAAGAAGGAGGAGGAGGAGGAGGAAGAGGAGGATGGGGGAGGGAGGGAAAATTAAATCACATGCATCGAAGGGAGATAAATAATGAAGTAGAAAAATAATAAAACCTGGGCACTTTGGTATTAGTTCGAATCTATGTAAATCTGATTTTTCTCAAGATAAGATCAAAATAAAAATCTTTTTGACAAACAGTCTCGAGAGAATGTACGAGTGTAAGAGAGGTAGACTTGGGGTATAGACGTGAGGGGGAGGGGGGGGTGAGGTTGGGTAGAGGAGGAGGGATATGTGAAGATGGTGTTACACATCGAGAATCGAAAATTCGCCTCTTCGAGAGTTTAGGGTTTGTCGAGAAACTCGTCGGAAAGTTCATGAAATATTTATATTTGCCTGCTTTTCTTTAAGAGGAAAGTAAAGATAGAAAAAAGAAGCGACAGGAGCGTAACGTGTGTCTGTCCGTGCGTATGTATGTATGTATGTATGTATGTGTGTGTGTGTGTATGTATGTATGTATGTATGTATGTACGTACGTATGTATGATGTATGTATGTATGTATGTTTGTATATACGTATGTATGCACGTATGTATGTACGTATGTATGTGGCAAGAAAAGAAAGAAAGGGGAGGGGGTGGTGGTGGTGGTGGAGGAGAAGGAAAAGGAGGAGGGACTAAAAGAGGAAAGAGGAAGAACACGGAAGAGTAGAAGCGTAGAATTTTGATCATTTTCTCTGTGGAAGCCTCTGGAGAAATAAAAGGAGGCAGTAGCACAACTCTCGAGTCGATGTTTCGTTCTAGTTGGGTGCAACGTTGTTACACTTTTCGAACGAAATATACTTTTTATTGGGAGACGAACTACGAATAACTAGAAAGATTACGTTGAAAGTAAGAAAGAAAAATGAAAGAATACCAAATAGTTTTTCAGTGACGTTAGAACGTTAACAAGAAATGTTATTAACTGTTAATATTTATGGTCAATTTTAAAAGCTTCTCTCTCTCTCTCTCTCTCTCTCTCTCTCTTTCTCTCTTCTCTTAGTGTCTTAACAATCTTACAGATAACGGATCACTGTTAGAAAAAAAAAAAAAAGAAAAGAAAATGAAGAAGAAAAATGAGACTAAAAGTTGTAAATAAAAAAAAAAATAAAAAAAAAAAGAGGGGTAATTGATTTTTAAAATTCATCCCAAAAAAAACTTTTGGTCCGACCAGTATCAACAGGCAATTAATTTAAACCGATCCAATATTATATGACAATGTTATTAAACAAGAAAGTAGATATTAATAGATTGGATCGATAAATTATTTGAACAATTAATATTTAACGAGCGTTATTAAGAAATAATGGAATGTAAACGCTAATAGAGTATAAATTATCCATCATCGATATCACGTTATCTCGTTAACTATCATCGCTTTTGTGTTATAACAAATAATGAATAAAATTTAAGAGAGGAAGAAGGGAAGGGCGAGGAACTGTGTGTGTGTATGTATGTGTGTATGTATGTGTGTGTGTGACAAACTAGAATAATAACGTTTATCATGAAAAAAAAAGGGCGAAAGCATGTAAAAAAATAAAAAAAAAAAAAAAAAGAAAAATAAATAAATAAATAAAAATAAAAATAAAAAAAAAGGAAGGAAAGAAATGGGCGATAATAAATCTCAGCGTGACGTATAACTAATATATCGGATATATATATATTTTTTTTTATAGAGATCGGGGATTAATGTTAAAATCAAGTCAACGTTAAAAATCGTTTAAACCATTAAGAAAATTTTATACCAAGGAAACTCTATGAATAATCCTCGACATATACAACTTGATTTTGAATTAACCATCCTTGACGCGATTCAAAAGCTTTAACCACCATAGTACCAATACTATTACCAGTACGTACTAGCGTCAGCATCAATGGCCTTCAGAAACCTTGTACGTTTCATTCCATAACCCTCGAACCTTCGTCACGAACGATTGACCTCGACTGAGCGATGCCAAGTGTTCTACAGGTTCTCCTTTCCCTCGATAGTTTCTCCCTTAGCGAGCTTCATCGGTCAAGTTATTTGGTACCAATCGAAGATGTTACACAGCACAACGTTACTTCGTAGAAGAGAAAAGTTCTCACTCCATGAAACGTGAATCACGTTGATATGCCATAACAAGATTAACCCGTTAACTGTTATTATGACGAGTACAATACTGGTCACGAGGAGATGATGACGATGATTTTTCTTTGCTTCTTTTCTTTCCCCCCTTTTTTTTTCTTTCTGTTTTTCTTTCTTTCCTTTTCCCTTTTCTTTTTGTTATGACAAGTACGAATACTCTGTCACGAATAAATGACAATTTTGTGTGTCTCTATATGTGTGTGTGTGTGTGTGTGTGTGTGTGTGTGTGTGTTACGGCGAATATACTCGTTCGTAAGTTGAAGACATTTGAAAATATTTTCAAATCTCGAAATGATATTCGAAATAATCAAATCTCTTTGAATATCTTTCGAAAAATAAATAGATAAATGTACACGATTAATATTATTATTAGGTTGGAAACTATGAAACGGGCGTTGAATGAAAATAAATAAC